TGGCAAAACACTGTATTCTATAGGTTACCAGAGTAAGGAACGATTAAGTATTGGTGTAATTATCACAGCCTATGGATTAAAGTAAGATTAATGGATTAATAAGATGTTATTTGATATGAAGACCAAGTGATTCATTAGTCATTATAAAAACTTTGTTTATTTTAAAAAATCTTAATTTTTCTCTTTCCATGTGCAGTTTTAGCTACTGTTTGGAGTGAGAATTCCTTTTGGGTTCAGGTTTTTATTTAAATTTCAGTTAGTTAACATACAGTGTAATATAAGTTTCAGGAATAGAATTTAGTGATTCATTTACAAACAACACCCAGTCCTCATCACGAGTGCCCTCCTTAATATACGTCACCCATTTAACCTACTCCCCCCACTCACCTCCTCTCCAGCAAACCTCAGGTTGTTCTCTTTGTTAAGAGTCTGTTTTATGGTTTGCTATTCTTTTTTTTTTCCCCTCTGTGCTCATCTGTTCTGTTTCTTAAATTTCACATGTTTGAAATCATATGGTTTTTGTCTTTCTCTGACTGACTGATTTCACTTAGCATAATACACTCTTAGCCCCACCCATATCATTGCAAATGACAAGATTTCATTCTTTTTTATTTTTTTTAAATGTTTTATTTATTTCTGAGATGGAGAAAAAGAGAGAGAGAGAGAGAGACCGCATGAGCAGGGAAGGGTCAGAGAGAGAGAGGGAGACATGGAATCCGAAGCAGACTCCAGGCTCTGAGCTAGCCGTCAGCACAGAGCCCGACGCGGGGTGAGTGAGATCATGACCTGAGCTAAAGGTGGCTCCACTGACTGAGCCACCAAGCGCCCCTCGTTCTTTTTTTTTTTATGCCTGAGTAATATTCTGATGCACGTATATATGTGTATATATTTGTATACATACACACACACATATATACACATACATCTTTATCCATTCGTCAGTTGATGGACATTTGGACTCTTGCTATAATTTGGCTATTGTTGATGATGGTGCTGTAGATATTGGGGGGGTGTCCCTTTGAATCAGTATTTTTGTATCCTTTGGGTAAATACCTAGTAGTGTGATTGCTAGGTTGTAGGGTAGTCCTATTTTTAACTTTTTGAGGAACCACTGTACTGTTCCAGAGTGGCCACACCAGTTTGCATTCCCACCAGTGGTGCAAAAGGGTTCCCCTTTCTCCGCATCCTTGCCAACAACTGGTGTTTCCTGTGTTTTAAACTTTAGCCATTCTGACAGGTGTGAGATGGTATCTCATTGTAGTTTTGATTTGTATTTCCCTGATGATGAGTGGTGTTCAGCATCTTTTCATGTGTCTGTTAGCTATCTGGATGTATGTTGTGTTTGGAAGAATGTATCTTCATGTCTTCTGCCCATTTCTTAACTGGGTTGTTTGTTTTGAGGGTGTTGAGTTTGAAAAGTTCTTTATAGACTTTAGATACTAACCTTTTATCAGGTATGTCATTTGCAAATATCTTGGAGTGAGAGGTATTCTTAACACCCACGTGACACTTATATTTCTTTCCCTGCTGTTTGTGGAACTAAAATGAATTTATTTGAAAAGTAATGGACTTATTTCACAAAGATTTACTACTGGAGGCTTCGAGGCTGCTTACTCTACCTTGGATTTACCAGAGCTTAAAAGTTGGAATAGCTTTGAAAACTATATTGAGTCAAGTGACTTCTAATTGATTTATGACTATCAGTGGATATCGTTACTATGTAATCACAGTAGGCCCTCTGAGCTCTACCATCATTAATCAGCCATGAAGCATACCCACGGACTTTGGATGAACAGAAAACTTAAAGCTGTCGTAGATTCATACTAGTTTCCATTTGAAGGAGACCTTGAAGTTTATCTAGATAATAGGAGATTAGTCTGGTGGTCAGAATAATTTTGAAGATACCTTTGATATTGATGTACTCATATTACTATTTTTGTTATTTCCCTGATGGATTTAACCTGATGTATTTATTTGCTATATTTTTTCATGTTAATAATATTTGCTTTTGACTCCCCCCTACCCCCTCCTCGTGATGGGCTTCTCCTTAGTTAATGAAGGTGAACATGAAGCTTGATGGCAAAATGAAATCTTTTTTAATCATTCACAGAGCGAAAATAAATTTGGGGCATTTTTTAAAATGAAAAATGTATCTTTTTAAATAGGTTATCAGGATTTTGTTTTAGCTCCATTTTCTTTCTTTTTTTTAATGAACACTGAATTTTATTTTTTAAATTTTTAAAATTTTTTACAAATAGTTTATTCTCAAGTTGGTTTCCATATAATACCCAGTGCTCATCCCCACAAGTGCCCTCCTCCATGCCCATCTCCCTTCTCACCCCCCCCACCCATCAGGCCTCAGTTTGTTTTCAGCATTCAAGAGTCTCTCATGGTTTGCCTCTCTCCCCCTCCCCAACTATTTTCCCCCTTCTTCTCCCCCACCGTCCCCATTAAGTTCCTCCTAATCCTCATATATGTGCAAACATATGGTATTTGTCCCTCTCTGCCTGACTTATGTCACTCAGCATAACTACCCTCAAGGTCCATCCATGTTGCTACACATGGCCAGATTTCATTCTTTCTCATTGCCAAGTAGTATTCCATCGTATAGATAAACCACATTTTCTTGATCCATTCGTTCGTTGATGGACACTTAGCCTTTTTCCATGTGTTGGCTATTGTTGAGAGTGCTGCTATGAACATTGGGGTACATGTGCTCCTATGTATCAGCACTCCTATATCCCTTGGTTATATTCCTAGCAGTGCTATTGCTGGGTCATAGGGGAGTTCCACCGTTATTTTTTTGAGGAACCTCCACACTGTTTTCCAGAGGGGCTGCACCAGTTTACATTCCCACCAACAGTGTAGGAGGGTGCCCGTTTCTCCACATCCTCACCAGCATCTAGTGTTTCTGTTTGTGACTAATCGTTTTAAATATTTAGGTGCTCCCATACATACCTCAGGATGTAAAGTTCTAAATATATCCGTCAGATCCATCTGGTCCAATGTGTCTTTCAAGTCCATTATTTCTTTAGTGATTTTCTGTCTGGTTGACCTACCCATTGCTGTAAGCAGAGTATTAAAGTCCCCTGCTATTAGCACATTCTTATCTATAGGCTTGTTTCTGTTTGTGATTAATTGTTTTAGATATTTAGGTGCTCCCATATTCGGTGCGTAGACATTTATGACTGTTAGTTCTTCCTGATGGATGGACCCTGTAATTATTATGTAGTGCCCTTTTTCATCTCTTGTTATTGTCTTTAATTTAAAGTCCAGTTTGTCTGATATAAGTATAGGTACTCCAGCTTTCTTTTGATTTCCAGTAGCATGATATATATTTCTCCATCCCCTTACTTTTAATCTGAAGGTATCTTCCAGTCTAAAATGTGTTTCTTGTAGACAGCAAATAGATGGATTTTGTTTTTTAATCCATTCTGCTACCCTATGTCTTTTGATTGGAGCATTCAGCCTATTTACATTCAGTGTTATTATTGAAATATGTGGGTTTAGAGTCATTGTGTCCTTCGTGGGATTCAAGCTTGTGGTGATGTCTCTGGTATCTTCGTTCCTTGCAGCACTTCCCTCAGAGAGTCCTCCTCACGATTTCTTGTAGGGCTGGGTTAGTGGTGACATATTCTTTCAATTTTTTATTTGGAAAGACTTTTATCTCTCCTATTCTGAATGACAGGCTTGCTGGATAGAGGATTCTTGGCTGCATATTTTTACTGTTCATCACATTGAAGATTTCCTGCCATTCCTTTCTGGCCTGCCAAGTTTCAGTAGATAGGTCTGTCACCACTGTGATTGGTTTCCCTTTGTATGTTAGGGCCCTTTTCTCCCTAGCTGCTTTCAAAATTCTCTCATTGTCCTTATATTTTGCCATTTTTACTATGATATGTCGTGCAGATGATCGATTCAAATTACGTCTGAGGGGAGTCCTCTGTGCCTCTTGTATTTCAACGTTTACTTCCTTCTCCTGGTTGGGGAAGTTCTCTGCTATAATTTGTTACAAGACTCCTTCAGCACCTTTCCCTCTCTCTTCCTCTTCTGGGATTCCTATGATATGGATATTGTTCCGCTTGACTGTATTGCTGAGCTCTCAAACTCTTCTTTCATGTTCCTGGATCAGTTTGTCTCTTTTTTTCTCAGTTTCTTCTTTTTCTATCATGGTGTCTTCTAAATCACTTATTCTCCTCTCTGCCTCTTCAGTCCGTGCATTGGACGCCTCCAGTTCATTATGTATCTCATTTATCGTATTTTTAAATTCATCATACCTATTTTTAAGCTCCATGTTGTTTGTAGCCATGGTTTCTTTGATGTCCTCTATGCTTTTCCAAGTCCAGCGATTAATTTTCTGATTATTGGTCTATAAATTTGTTCAGTTATGCTGCTTATATCTGTTTTTGGCAGTTGTGTAGCTGTCAATTCTTCTAGGGATTTCTTTGGAGGAGAGCTCTTTTGCTTCGTCATTTTGGTTAGCTTTCTATCTCTTGTTAGTTTTAAAGACCTGTTCTGCTTTCTGCACCTGTGAGTGCTGCTGTACCCAAGAAGACTCTTTGACTGTCCAGGGCCTATCCTTTCAGAAAGTGTTCTTTGATTGGTATCTCTTGGTCTCTCTTGTTGGTTTTAGCTCCATTTTCAATGGTACAATACACAGTCATATATTAGAAAGGGATAGTGATCATGGTGCTTTTCATGATGCATTTAGTCACAATGCATATACATAATTATTGTGACTTTTGTCCATTTTTTAATTGTAATTTGTGTGAGAGAGAAGAATCAGATTTTTTGCATTTTTCAGGTTCTCACTACAGCATAAAAATATCCTTTTTTTTTTTTTTCTGGTCATACACACACATACACACACACACACACACACACACACACAAATCATTGTAATTTAATATTCGATCCTGTTCCCAATGTGGTGAACACCTTTTTTTCATACTCAGTCCCAGTAAGTCCAGATTTTGCAGTAACATGTGGATTTCTCATTGCAGGTACATGTTGGGGCTTGCAGCAATTCCAGCAGCTATACAGTTTTTGGGCTTTCTCTTTTTACCTGAAAGCCCTCGATGGCTGATTCAGAAAGGACAGACTCAGAAGGCCCGTAGAATTTTATCTCAGATGCGTGGTAACCAGACCATTGATGAGGAATATGATAGCATCAAAAACAACATTGAAGAAGAGGAAAAAGAAGTTGGCTCAGGTATGTAGATTTTGTACTTACACACATCTTAAAACTGCATAGTAGTTTTATCTAGAAACTATATTCTTTTGCTATTATTTAATATCTCTAAATGATATAGTGGTTTTACATGTATGACCACATCAAAATAAATATATTTTAATTTAAAAGTATATAATAGTGTTGTAAAAGATAGAAAAACATCCCCATACTATCACTCTCCTCTAATAATTAGTGTTTTTATTTTTGTATAGTCTCTTTTATCTTTCAAACTTGGATATACTTGAAATGGTTGTCGTCATTGTGTGTGGAGGGTTAATTTTTGAGCTAGACGTATATTTTATTTATAAGTGTATATATAAACATATGTGCATATTGATTTTTTCATATTAACTAAAAAGACACAGTGTGAACTGTTGTCAAAATCATTTTAGTCAAACTAAATACCTTGTTTATGTGTGTCACATTAATTTCCATATTAGTTTTTTTAAGTTTATGTATTTTGAGAGAGAGAGAGAGAGAGAGAGAGAGAGAGAGAGAGAGAGAGAGAATCTCTAGCAGGCCCCATGCTGTCAGTGCAGAGCCTGATGGGAGTCTCAGTCCCACAACCTGGGATCATGACCTGAGTGGAAATCAAGAGTTGGACGCTTAATTGACTGAGCTACCTAGACTCCATATTAGTTTTCATAAAGAATAAGAATAGCTTCAGATCCTAGTTGTGGAATCATTTTGTGTTCGCTGTTTTCATTAAAATGTTTAATTTTCTAATCAAAATTTCACCATGTTGGAAAACGGAAAAAAAAAGTTTTTAGTCAATTTATGTTGATGAATTTCATTTCAGAGAAGAAATCATGTAGGGTTTTGCAAAATTCTCAGGCAGGAGGGATCCCTGGGTGGTTCAGTCAGTAAAGCATCCCAGCTTCAGCTCCCGTCATGATTTCACAGTTCATGAGTTCTAGCCCTGCATTGGGCTCTGTGCTGACAGCTTAGAATGGGGAGCCTGCTCAGATTCTGTCTCCCTCTTTCTTTGGCCCTCCCCCATTCATGGTCTGTCTCTTTCTCTCAAAAATAAATAAAAACATTAAAAATTTAAAAAAATTTCTCAGGCAGGATCTCTAATCTTGAAAGTTTGATTTGGATAAGTGATTTGCAGGGTGTACATGATGGGGAAAGGTAGACATTTTATAAACAATTTCTCAAAAGTAACCATTACCCTGGTAGATCTGCATTTCCCAAAATTGTCTCATTTTCTCTCGACCTTCCTTTTGCCCCTGTGTTAATTGGTAACCCAAGTGGAGATGCTGACTTGTGTTACTCAAATTATTTTTCATACTTGAGAAAATGCAGACGTCCACACTACTATATTGATAAATGTCACACAAGTCTTGGTAAAGCTGAAAGTCGTGCTTTCCTGAAACAATAGAATAAACACTGTGCAGAAGCTCGTCACTGTGTTAGCCACACTTGATTTACTCACTGTTATATATACGTAATAAATACAGCCATGTGATGCTGCTGCCTGCTCAGGTCAAAGCCCCAGTGACCTGTGAGCTGATTCCAAGTGAAAGCCATTTTTAACAAACTAAGTTTCTGAGCATGTACCGTGTGTTTGGCACTGTCAGCATCTCCCAGAGTCAGATATTAGTGCAAGTATTAAAGAGAACTTGGCTTTAACAAAACAATTCACTTTTAATGAGTTGAATATTGTGTTAATTTTTAAAATACTATTTCAAATGTCCATTTAAATTACAAATACCTTCATTTATGCTCCTCTCTGAATTTCCCTCAGCTGTGGGTTAAATGAAGTAGGAGCTTGTTTTTGTTGTAATCAGTATGCTTGAAGCTCAGGTACTAATGTGTGTGTGGAATAACTTTTTAGGGTATTAGGTTATTTTAAATACCATTTAGAACTTAAGTTTTTATCATGTAAAGGACACGACAACAATTTAATTGAAAAATCCTTCCTAATTAGGGGTCAGGATACCACTGGCTACTACAGAGCATTGACCATGTAGCTTCATTTTGACTACTAAAAATTTTGTCTGACTGGTACGGCCACGCAGCTGTGACAGTGCAGACTATTTGAGTTTCATGACTATTTGAAATACATAACTGGGGCGCCTAGGTGGCTCAGTCATTTGAACATCTGACTTCAACTCAGGGCATGATCTCACTGTTTCCGAGTTTGAGCCCTGCATCGGGCTCTGTGCTGACAGCTCAAAGCCTGGAGCTTGTTTTGGATTCTGTGTCTCCCTCTCTGTCTGTCTCTCTGCCCCTCCCCCACTCATGTGCTTGCGGGCCGCACACACGAGTTCTCTCTGTCTGTGGCTCTCAAAAACAAACATTAAACATTTTTTTGAGATGTATAACTAAGTTTTTTGTTTTAAGAAACTTGAGAAAACGTAAAGATATTGCAGTTATCTGCATGTGATTTAATTTTTGTGAGAAGTCGTTGGGAGCTTAAATAGGGCACTTTCTCTTGGGTAAAGATAAAATATTAAGCCATTTACCTATTTCCCAATGTTGCTTTATATGCATACTTGGCACAGTTTTTTAAAAAAATACTGTTATCTACTGAATTCTAATAACATTTATCCCATGCTTGGGTAAATATTCTAAACTTTGTAACTAATAGGATTAATAATTTATCCATTTCTAGATTTATACTATTTGAATAATGTCATCTTCATTTAAAATTAATCTCATGTTCTTTTTTAAAGTACAGAATTAAGAGCTTTATGGCAAAGTTCACAGGAGAGATTTGCCAGTCTTAAATAGCACTGGTAATTTTTGGGCCTCGTTTTCATGATTGAGGAATTTGACCAGAGTAAAACCTGTTCTGCACAAGTGTGAATTTTATTTCAGCATTGTCATGTCCAGGAGCAAGACTCTGTCAGTGCATTTGGAAAATAGAGACCAGTGCTAGGTCTTGTGTTAACAAACTGACAAGGTCCTGGCCCTAGGTCACCTTTCATTCGCAAATGATAAGCTAGGGGAACAAATACACATGAAGAAACAGCTAACTTCAAAATAATAAAAATGTCCTGGTCCAGAGAAGACAAGTCAGCCATTGCATTGCAGAGTTAGAGAGTGGCCTGGGTTTATCTGTGTGTGGATCCTGACAAGATAAGTTTTGAGTCCCCACTTCAAGCTTGGGGATTCCGGGCAGTGGAGGGAAGAACTATGGCCTAGCCATGGCAGAATACTCTGGTATTTTGGGAGGTTAGAAAGAAGTTGTGCGTGAACCCTCTTATTTTTAAGGAGGAGGGTTTCATTTTCAGACATAGTGGCTTAGTTATGTGTTCCCTGTCTGTGAACTTACTGAATGAGCTTCCCGATTGCCGAACAGCCCTCCTGTCCTCTGGGAGTCCAGTGGATTTGTGACTTGCTACTGTTATGGCACTTGCTTATGTGAACCTTCTATTTTCTTAGGTGTTTTTTTTTTCCCTTGGTCACTGGAGTTTAAATTTGATTTCTTTGAGGAAAATAGGCATAGCTACTGAAGTCTGTATTAGTTAAATTAATTTAATTTTTGGATGTGTGAGGTATCCGTGCATATGGGATTCACTTCTGGTTTCAGACCCACGTTGTGACCTTCAGTGAATATGGTGGCTCCTCTGGCCGTGTCAGCGGCAAAGGCGAGGTTCACAGGCCATACTATGGGACTGGATGGGTTTGTCATGACATTCCGTCTCTTCCACACATGGCACGAAGGTCAACCCCCTTAGCATGTGATTTCTCCACGATAGTGGGCAAAAGAAAAAAAGAAGGAGCAGTTGATGGGAAAATAAACAAATAATTGTTTTTTTATGTATAATTCAACACTGTTTATATGTCCTGAAGGACTCATAATGTGAGCCTGGAAGTAACAGCTTGGTTTGGAAAGCTCCTGTGTGTGGGAGATAGGGAGGTGAACAATTTGTTCTGGCTCTACCTTCTCTTGGTCATCCTAAAAAGATTTTCTGGGAGTTGCGAACCTCGCTTTGTTTTTTTGGTCTGTGAGAAAAGAGAGCCAGATTATAGTTTCACTTTTTAGAGTTTTAAAAATCTGTGAGATATGCCTCACAGATAAATACTTAAATACCATGCAGCAGCCTTTCATTGAAAAATATTTATTGAGTGACACTCAGTAGAGTTGGGGATGTGACAGTAAGACAGACAAGGTTCTAATCCATTCTGCTGGGAAGAAGCACACAAATGATAAAGAGTAAATAGTTACTGGATAACTACAGATTGTGATAATGGCTTTGAAGGAAACAAACAGGATAATAACATTTATAGAGGGACTGAAGGGGGGGATGCTTAGGAAAGGCTTCTCTGAAGAGGTGAATGTAAAGCCTGAGAAAGAATAGTAGTGTAGAGAACTGAAGGGAAGAGTGTTCCAGGAAGAGGGAACAGCAAGTGCAAAATTATATGTATCACTAAGAGGACCAGATTAATAATTTTCTTGGAAGTTTTGACACTAGTTATGAAGTGTATGAATGCCCGATTTTTAAAACACTGCAGTAAGAACTAACTGTTCATCTTTATGCTTAGGTTTATTTATGCCTAAGCTTTGAATTAGTAGGGACACAATTATTACTTTTAGAATAGCCCAAAATTTACTTGAATTTTTATGCTTCATCCTAGAAATTAACAGAAGATAGTCTGTGCTCTGTTTCATTACATAACTGTTTACTTAACTTTAAAAGTGTTTTTTTGAAATATCTAGAGTGTTTATTCATTGGCTTTATGTGTTCTGTCACTCTGTCATGTACATTCCTTGGAATAGGCATCCTGCAGTTTGACAGAATGAACTTAAAGCATTTGGAGCTCCTCTCTTGGGCAAATCCATTAGGCGGGATAGGAAGAGTTGGAGCTGCCTATAATATTGGAAGCAAGTGGTCATCTCTTAATTTGCTGACCATATGGAAGAGCAGAGAGTCTTTGTCAGGAGTTTTAGTTTCTTTTTTTTTTTTTTTTTTTTTAAATGTTTTTTATTTATTTCTAGGAGAGAGAGAGACAGCGTGAGCAGGGGAGGG